GACTCGTCATAACCTTTCTCCAAGAATCTGTTTTTCAGAATAGCTGCCTGGGAATAATAAGTGTCAATGTTAGTGCAGTTTCTTCTAATCCTAAGGAACTGCCCTTTAGGAATATTGGTTAACCAAGCTGGATGATGGCAGCTATCAAGAAGGATATAACTATTCCTATCTGTTTGTTTGGAAAAAAATTCCGTTATAATCCTTCCCCCTTGATTCAGCAAAGTTAAATCCAAAAAATGTATACTATGTACACTGTATTCAAAGGTGAGTTTGATATTTAATGTGTTATTATGTAAGTGCTGAAAAAATTAATTAACGCCTGCTCTTCACCATTCCAAATTAGAAATATATCATCTATATAGCGTCTATAGAAGGAGAGCTCTGGCCATTCTCTGGCATATATGAAATCCTCCTCCCACCTGGCCATAGAGAGGTTGGCCAGTCTGGGAGCAAATTTCACTCCCATCGCAACTCCTTTGGTTTCTAAATAAAAATGATTGTCGAACCAAAAGTAGTTCTTTGTCATCGCAAATTCTAAAAGTTTAAGTATAAAATCTTTATGTAAAAAAGTCATATCTTTAAAATCATTCAAATAAAATTGCACTGCCTCAATGCCGTCCGAATGATTAATGTTTGTGTAAAGTGATTTAACATCTGCAGTAACCAAGAATGTCGTAGATTCTGTTACTACATTTCTGATATCTTGCAGAACTTGTTTGGTATCGTGTAAGTATGCCGGGGTTTTAGTTACTAGTGGCTGCAGAAAATGATCTATATATTCACCTGCCCTTGAACATAATGAACCAATTCTGCTAATGATTGGTCTACCTGGTGGGGTATTAGGATTTTTATGTATTTTTGGCAATATATATAGCACAGGCAATTTAGGGGCAGAGGGCCACAAGAAATCTCTTTCTTTTTTGTTTATAATCCTATTATCATAGCCTTTAAGAATAATCGTCTTAAGTGATTTCCTGAAAGGTCCCAAAGGATTCTTTTTAAGTAGGAGATCTTTATCACTTAAGATGTTATGTACCTCTTTGATATAGTCCATTTTATTCTATTTTTTTTTTTTTAAAGAAACTTTATTTGGTTTTATCATATACACACATGGACCAACGATGAAAATTATACAGTATATATAGCGTGGCAACATGCCAAAGCAGGTAGCAAATTCCAGAAATACCAATTGTTCTCATAAAGAAAATGCAAAAGTCCCAAAAGAGACAAAGAGAAAGCAGAGAAATATGGAAATGAGAGATTTACTTATAGAAAAGGGAGACATCGCACAAAGTATCAAAGTGTAAGGGCTTAGGAGTAAAGTATCTAGGTGTTTGAAAAGATACGAGTCTAAACATGTGTAGGTATGAGTCCATAGAGATAAACAGATATAAGCCATGTTAACCAATAGTCAAATAACCAAAAGGAAGGTCATCGTGCATATGGGTAAGAAGTGGAAGCAAAATAAGAAAACGTAAGGTAGAGATAGAGCCATAAGGAATGAAGAAGAAAAAAACTGAGAAACAAGTCTAAAAAGAATAGACCATCAGGAAAGAAAAGATAATAAGAAAAGAAAAGAAAGAAAAGGAGGGAGAAGTAGAAAAGATATAGTCCATTTTAGATAAGACCACCACTCCACCGCCCTTGTCAGCCGGGCAGACTACTAGGTCTTTTCTTTCCAGGAGAGAGTTCATAGCTTTTTTACAAGCACTATGATCTCTGACATGCTTTACTTTAACATCAATGAGATCTTTAAATACTGAGTCCCTAAAGGCATTGATGTAAGCTTGTGACTGCGGGGGGGGGGGGGGGGGGGGGGTTGAATAGGGATGCACAGGAATGCAGTGCGGTTCCTGTGTGAATCCCATGTGATATACCGCACCGCACATATGTGAACCCAGGCTAAAAAGTTGCATTAAAAAAAGGTTTTTTAGCGTTTCGCATTAGTGTTAGGCTGCGTTTTGTTGTGTTTTTCTGTGTTAGCATATTTTTACACAAACAAAATTATTTTTTGGCTCAAAAACATGCTGGTTTGCTGCATTTTACCGCGTTTACCAGTGTTAGAGTGTTTCTACAGCTACAAATTCCTCTTGAAACCCACTAGGTCTTGGGGGGGGGGGGGATTCCAGTCAAAAAACGCTGATTAAACCTTATGTGGTCATAGACACAAAGGATAACATGCTGGGGAGTTTACTGGCTGTAGAAAAAATGCCAGGAGCCAGAAACAGCAGCTGTAAAAAAGCCCAGTGTGCACAAGGCCATGCACACTAGTGTGTTTTTTTTTTTTTAAACTTAAAAAACACTGGATAAAAACACCGGTAATAGCGTTTTTAGTAGCATTCAGGAGCGATAAGAAGCATTAGTATTTTTTTTTAGCGTTTTTAGTCCTCATGCACACTGGATGTTTTTACAGCTGCTGTTTTTGGCTTTTGGCATTTTTTTTCTACAGTCAGTACACTCCCCAGTATGTTATCCTAGGTGTCCATGCACACAGACTGTAATCAGCATTTTTTGGCAGGGGCGTTTTTGTGGCTGGAAAAAACCCCCCAGAACTAGTGGGTTTCTAGAGGAATTTTTTTAGCTGTAAAAATGCTCTGATGCTGAAAAACGCAGCAAAATGCGGTAAAATGTGGTGAACTGATGCAAAACAGCGTTTTTGGACTTTTTCGAGTAAAAAACAAATGCTAAAGAATGCAAATGTGAAAAAACGCAAAAAAAACGCAGCATATGCCGTGTGTGTGTGGGAACTCGCTTCAACGTGGTAGAGCTTTTAAACGCAAACAGCTACTCGCTTTCTTTTAAAGGCCTTTTTAGCCCACTTTTATTTAAATGAAAGTTCAAAACAGAAGTTTCCCACACAGGGGTATCCACCATCAAACAAAATTCAATGATTCAGCCTCCTGGCTTACACTCAGCTTGATGTCTGCCTCCTGCAGACTTCTTCAAGAATTATGGCTCTTGCTCACAGCTGGCCACTAGCACACAGCTAGTCTCTAGCAGCCCCTTGCTGCTTTTGGCTTCCACCTCTCCTAGGCGAAGCCCACCTGACTCCTATCTGCCGGGGTGGAGCCCTGCTGACTCCTATCTGCCGGGGTGGAGCCCAGGACCCTGGTCCTGACTCTCTCTAAAGGCCTGCACACACCTGTGCAATCAGTCTCCTGGCCTATCCCAAAACCTGGTCCCAGGATTGGAGATTTCATCCCTCCCAGATCTCTTTGAAATCTCCAGGCTCCAGATCCCAAAACAGACCTTACAAACAAAGGAGGAAGGTGAAAAGCCACTTTCCTCCATATCAAACACTTACCCTGGAGCCCCTCAACCTGCCTAGTTGAGAATCCAGGGTGACAGATCGCCACACTGTCACAGCTGCTAAACTCTAATGCAAAAATGCTGAAAAACTCACGTTTATAATGTGACTTTACACAGCTAACGTTACCAGCGTTATTAAAATGCCCAGTGTGCATGGAGCCTTACAATACATGTAGAGAAAATAAAAGCTAGAAAGAAGCTGTTAAGAGCATATTAGTAGCATTTAGTGTTTTTTTTGCTGGAAAAACGCTCCAAAAAACTCTACAAAAAAATTTTTTTTTTCTGCTCTTAGACGCTGAAGCTCAAAAAATACTAATAGCCTAAAGTAGTGTGCATGGACACATAGGATGACACTATAGCTTCTAGGAGCAGAAAAAATGCTAATAACAGCTTCTAGGAGCTTACAGATGCTTGTATGCATTGAGTCTAAACCTGGGAATACACTGAGTTTTTTTTCATGCTGAATGGAAAAAAACTTGACTTGATACCTGCGTCCACATCTCTCCTGCTGTGCTATTATATTCTGACAGTGGGGACTCGGACTTTGTCAGATTACATGGAGGAGTGCTGCAGCCACTGACTGCAGTGGCTGATCAAATGCTGGTTTTCCAGCAGAACCGTTCAAAAGAAAACGGTCTATTGATGGTCTTCTGTTGAACAAAGAGGGCTTCACACAGATGGAGATTGGTCTGGTTTCTGCTGAACCGGTCAAATTTCAGTCTGTGTGTACCCAGCTTTAGACAATGGTCACAGTAACAAGGGTCCCCATTGGAAGATTTCCCCTCTATTCCCATCCTGGTGGCAACTCAAAATTGTGGATTTCTCCTCACTTTCATTCCCAAAGACACTGATGAAAATTAGAGGGTGAATCTCCCTAATGGGAACACAGACAGCAATAAAAATCAAACATTGGTTCCAACCACTCAACAGTCTATCCAGATCTGAAATTATTTGTTTTCAAGTTTTGACTTTAATTTTACTTTAAATGTTAATGCTAGAAATAACTATTAACAGATACCATTAATTATGTACAAAAGGGGTTCTGTAATCACTGACATGTGCCATGTAAATACGGGTCTAGCTAAATGTACCTGTCAAATTGTATCTGCTCACTCCTATCATGCCTACATTAGCTCACAGTGCAATGAAGCAGTCTGAGGCTGGAAGGAAGACGTTCTCTGAGCAGCTGGGAAAACATAAGAGAAACCTGTTTTGGCTTCTTCATAGCATTCTAGCACAGAAAAATAAACCAGTTCATGCAGACCCATCTGTCAGGATCATTTATTGACCTTTGTGACCAGACACATTTAGTTTAAAATCAGCTGTATTCTGGTAAAAAAATAATGAAAATATATTTTCATTTAAAATATAATTGTACTTCCCCCCCCTCATCAACTAATACTAAAATTTTTTAATAAAACCTTTCGGTTTTCATTACATATATTATTTTCAATCCAGTGTTGTCATCACTGTGTCTCTGTGTTTCTCTATGCAATGCAGGGAGATCATGGCTGGTAGGAGGGGCAGTCAGGCTGCTGTAATTAGCTTCCTGAAATCATCATAGCACCTGTCTCAAGAGTACTCAGTCCTGATGCAAGCAGTGTACTAGCTCTTAGGAGAGGTTATGCAAATATCAAAATGATTTGATGGATGGGTGTCAGTCTGGAGAAGTGGGTGTGCCTAGCAGGCTGTATTTACATAGAGACTGCTCTAGGTCAGGGGTGTCAAACTAAATTTCACTATGGCCCGCATCAGCATTATCAGCGGACTGACCATTTGGAAACTCAGGCACTGCCCGAGGGCCCGGGGTCAGTAGGGGGCCCCATAAGATGCCCCTGGTACCTTTTTTCATAGGCTTTTTTGAGTTTGGACACAGGGTCCCCATGATCCCCTATTGCCCGGGGGCCCCATGAGTTGTCAGTCCGCCCCTGATCTGTATGACTACATAAATTTATTCAAGGCTTTTTTTCTTAGAGGATAAGCATAGGAACTCAACCACTCAACCAGCCCCCTCCCCCATGAACTGCAAATTGTACTTTGAACAGTGGGGGGTTCTTAAAGGGGCATATAAAATACCAAGAATACGTTATGTGTGGCGTTCAGAGGTGCGCTATGTACAGAATGCAGTATCAGGGGTGCCCTATGCTCAGAGTGCAGAGTTCAGGGGTGAGCTACATACATAGTGCAGAGTTCAAGGGTGTGCTATGTACAGAGTGCAGGGTTCAGGGGTGCGCTATGTATTGAGTGCAGGGTTCAGGGGTGTGCTATGTACACAGTTTTTGGAGGACATGTTTCTGTATCAGACATTTATGGAGTCTTATTGTATGGTTGTCAAAGAACTATTGAATGTTATCTTGGAGGGTCAAGAAAAACAAGTATTTAGGACAAGATGTGTAACAAAAGGCTGCATACCATTCCTCCTCTTGGGAGTTCACACATACCTCCTAGCTGTGGGGCAGGGAGATAAGAGAGCCTCAAGCAAGACACCCCAGTGCCATGCATAATAAAAGGAAAGATTATATGGCTTCTAGCCAGAAGTGATTGACCAGGGTCCGAACATGGTTGGCAATATAACAGTGCCCCTGGTGGAGCGTTGGTGACAATATAGTAGTGCCCCTTGGTGGATACAATCTAATTCCAGAAGTAATCCTACACTTCCTAAGGAATGAGGACAGCCCCTTTTAATTTTGGACACTTGCTCATTGGATGAAGAACTACACCGGGTGGGTCAAGGGTGTGCGTGTATGGGTGTGCGTGTATGGGAGTGCCTTTGCATATAGTGTGGGCCATGTGTCTGGCCTCTTTCTGCTCTGACGTTGGACCAGCTCAAGATACTCAGCTTTGAGGTGGAACTTACGTAACGTATCATCTTTACTATTATTTCTATATATACTCTGTAGTATTGGCTTAGATTTCTATGTTAGTTTTACTTACTTTGTAAATAAATAAGACTTTGCTTCTTTGAGCATTGTGTCTATTATTATTGCTAATATTGCATTGTATTACGTCCTTCAGTATAGTCAAAGATTATATAGTTACTAATTAATTATAGGAAATCCAGATAACAAAACCCATTTTATTTATTTCAAGAGTGCAGGGTTCAGAGGTGCGCTATGTACAGAGTGCAGGGTTCAGGGGTGCCCTGTGTACAGAGTGCAGGGATCAGGGGTTCCCTGTGTACAGAGTGCAGGGTTCAGGGGAGCCCTATGCACGGAGTGCAGGGTTCAGGGGTGCGCTAAAAGTACAGAGTGCAGTTTTATGGGTTCCTTATGCACAGAGTGCAGAGTGCAGGGGTGTGCTATGTACAGAGAGCAGTTTTATGGGTTCCATATGCACAGAGTGCAGGGGTGTGCTATGTACAGAATGCAGGGTTCAGGGATGCTCGGTGTACAGAGTGAAGGGTTCAGGGATGCGCTGTGTACAGAGTGCAGGGTTCAGGGATGCTCGGTGTACAGAGTGAAGGGTTCAGGGATGCGCTGTGTACAGATTGAAGGGTTCAGTGGATGCGCTGTGTACAGAGTGAAGGGTTCAAGGATGCGCTATGTACAGAGTGCAGGGTTCAGGGGTGCGCTGTGTACAGAGTGCAGGGTTCAGGGGTGCGCTGTGTGTACGGAGTGCAGAGTTCAGGGGTGCGCTGTGTACAGAGTGCAGAGTTCAGGGGTGCGCTGTGTACAGAGTGCAGGATTTAGGAGTGCTCTATGTACAGAGTGCAGTTTTATGGGTTCCCTATGCACAGAGTGCAGGGATGTGCTATGTACAGAATGCAGGGTTGAGGAGTGCACTACATGCAGAGTTCAGGGTTCAGCTCTTTTTTACAAGCTGTCTACATCTTACTTCCACTCTTTTGCCACTCTCTCACTTGCACAAGATCATTGATCGGCATCGCAGTGCAGTTTATTGTGATGCCCCATCCCACACTGCACTTGCATCTGCATCTCCCTTGTCCTGCTGTGAGTGCAGGGCAGATAGGGAATCTGTGAGAGCCGTTGAGACAAAAGATGTCGTTGCAAAAATAAAACGCTTCTGTGTTTACAAATTACAGAGGTGAGCTGGGACCAGGGGGCGAGAGCTGCGGATTTCTGCCATGTTCTTGCTGAATAAAAGCCCTGGGTGCAAGGGCCACAGGAAATGATCTGGTGGGATGGATTCAGTCCGCAGACCTTCTGTTTGACACATCTGCTCTAAGTAATGCCCCATGTGATGTTGAGCCTCTATCATTGAAAGAACTAAAATCCAATGAATGAAATAGGTGGGCCAAGGTACAGTAAGGCCGGGGAGGAAAGGGCTAGATGGTGCTGGACATCTTCCAACCAGGAAAAGAGCCAGACTTGCTGCCAACTAATGCATACTGTGAGAAGCTTACAGTATGCGGTAAAATCAGAGGAAACACTTCAGAAGAGGAGCCTGTATAAATGTGCAAGACTGAAGGGAAGGCTGGAGTTCAGCTTGAGCTTCTTTCCTGCAATGATAAAAGGTATATTCAGACTGGTTTATGAAAACTGGAACTGAGGAAAATGGGGCAAAGGCAGAGAAGTTACCCATAGCAAACAGTCAGGGCAATCGTGCGTCTTCTGGAATAATAACAGAAAAAAATAGAAAAGCTACAATTTCTGGGGAAATTGTGTGAAGTGTTCTTGCCTCCACCAGTAGTCTAGGGCTTGAAAATGAGGGAGAAATGATGGCAGTTTAGAAATCATGTCCTGATTTTTCAGCTCACACTCTAGCTTTTGTCTGCTCCCACTCTAGTTTTGAACATTCCGCCATTCATTCCTATGGGGGACCAATTTCACCACAAAAATGTTGATATTTCGTGAACCAAGCGGTGAAACGTTCCACAAAGTAATAGCACACCAATCGGGAACAATCCGCACGTTTCGGTATATTACTGTCTATGTAGTGTAAAAACTATGGGAGGATTTAGGGTGGTAAATTTGGCTATAATAAGAAGAATATATATGTGAGATAACAGTAAGTGGCCTTGCCATGCAAGAACATTTAAATAGTTTGGTTTGCATGTATACCTACCTCAATTTTCCTAACTGTATCTCCTCCATGGCAGTAATGAGCAGGAGGATTTTCAGTACAAAACCCTGTATATCATGAACTGATCTCCTAATGGGGCTTCAAAAGTGAACTATGAATGACCAGTCACAGTAAGGCATTTACTTAGCTCAGCTCCTCTAAACACCTTTTTCTCTTGGAAGTAAAAAAAGCTGCTTAAAAAATGCAGTAAAAGCAAATGATCACATTAACACACAAACGTGTGAACACGCCTAAAAACAGTTGTATACGGGACACTTCTGAACAATGAAAACTGACTGCTGGAAAACGTAGGTTAAAAAACGTCTGTTTAGTCGTGTTTGCATAACGCGTTTATGTGCATTTGCTTTTAGAAGCGTTTATTAAAGATAAGCATAGGAGAACCTCCCGAATGCCCAGAATGCACTGAAAAGTGGTAAATTATTAACTATTTAAGACTGTTTCAGAGAAATACAGAGAGTAGAAGCAGAGACAGCAGTATGTGTTGAGATAATTAGGTGTGAGTTGCTCATTAACATTTCTTTTGTTTCCAAGGCTGGGAAAGGTGTCTGGTGGAGTGAGTCATTAAGGTCAGCTGGCAGGGGGTCTTCATGAAGAATTTGAGGTGTGAATGGGCATTAACATATCTTTTGTTTCCAAGGGTGGGAGAGGTTTGAGGTGTGAATTGGTCATTACAATGTGTGACAAGCTTGGTAGGAACATTCTGTGTTCAGTATTTTGTCCATCTGAGTACCTTGAAAACTCTTTGCATGCATTTTTCATTATAAAAAAAGGCTCTGGACAGCATTGGGAACTGGAAGAGTTAAAAAAAAGAAAATTCAAACGCAAACGCTTATAAACGTGATTTGCAGCATTTAGCCACGTTTACAAGCATTTTGCGTTTGAAACGCTGATAAAATCGAATGCTGAATGCAAGTTTGGTGCGTTCAAAAAAACGACTGTTAACTCAAATGCCTGTAAATCACTGTAAACAAATATGTGTGCATGGACACATAGGAAAGCATTAGGGAGAGTTCAGGGGCTGCAGAAAAAAAAAAACGCTGAACTCCTAAACGTGAGTTTATCAGCTGCAATGTACATGAGCCCTTAGAATTAATGTTAACTTAGGTGTGTTCACGTGTTTTTTTCTGTCCAAACACTTATCTGTCCTGAGTAAACAAAGAAGTCCTGGTACCTCCGAAACCTCACATTCGGACCATGAATGCCTGTGCTGTGATGTTTCCTCGCCCCTGTGCCTTGGAAGGACGGAACTCCAACATCGATGGCGGGATCCTGGTATCTTTACTCCCATAGCTTGGGAACACTGTGCGATGTTTGCAAAGATTGGATCAGACCATGAAATGGCACTATTCAGCATGGTGAAAGATAGTTGAGGAAGGTCTAGCTTTTGCACCCTTGTCTCAAGAGATGACGTGGTGGTTGTTGTTTCTTCAGGTTGTGGTAGGGAAGGCCTCCAGACAATCATACATGGATACAAAAAAAAAGGAGAATGTCAGTGTGCAGTTATTGGGGGGAAATCAAGAGTGAAGCAGCTGTTTGGGACTTTAAAGGTTGATAAGCATAGGGGTCTTAATGTGGGTAAGTTAAGTGGGATCCCCACAGGATGCAGAGTCTGAGCAACAGCCGGTATTTACCAGGGTGGGGATGGCCGATGCTGCATGCTATTGCCAGGTCTCAGTCCCTTGGTTCTTCCCACCCACTCACAGGGCTCAGGTTGAAGCCATAGGCAGATTGAGGGATGTCCGCAGGAAGCAATTATAAGCATGTGGATCCCCACCAGACTCTTGAAACTGAGTCGGGCACGAATGCCACAGCCTTATAATTCACAGCTCATTTATCTAAAACATTATATGCTAATGGAATATTAAACAAGGAAAAAGAAAGAGAGGAAAGAGTAATAAGAGCAAAAGCATAAACAAAATGATATAAAAATAAAAAGGGTACAGATTTAATGCTCCTCCAACTACGACTTTTACTTTAGGATGGTGAAGAGCAATGAATCTGTATTCATACAAAAAAAAATAAAAATAGGAAAGGTGAAAAAAAAAAAAAATTAAAATAAAAAAATATACTGTATATATAGTTGCCTTGAAAGAAAAACTATTGGCAACTGCATTAAAACACAAAAACATTGCAAAAAGTGCGACAGTTACTTGACAATAGACAACTTCTCCACCATACTAGTAATCAACAGTATATTTGCAGGTCAGTTACACAAAAAAATGGAGAGAGCAAAAAAATTGATTGAAAAACTTTTAGAATTTACAGTAGATAAACCTGACTGCACTTTATTACTCCAATTTAGAGGCTTCTATGCCTCTATTATGCATCTCTCTCTAATGTGTGTGATACTTGGATTAATTGACTTTGATCCCAAGTACACCCAAATTGACCACTCCACTCCTCCTAAGACATTATGATCTCCAGCTTCCTTGTTACCTCCTCCCATGCTCATCATCAGGACTGCTCCAGTACCTCTGGAACTCCCCTCCTCAATATGTCCAGCCAGCTCCTACCCTGTTGAACCTCATCCGCCTCCAACTAAAAACTAAATCTCAGCCTGCTCCATCAGACCATTCTCCGCAGCTATTTAATTTTGTACTACCACCCCCTCCCTTTAGATAAAAAGCCCCTTGAGCTGGGCCCTCCTATTAACGCTCTGCACAAACTGTTGGCGCTATCTAAAATCTGTTGCCTAAAGTCTAACAATCAAACTTTTAACTCCACCTCAAATTCCAAAGGCAGTTTCTGTAGGTGTGTGAGGGTGTCAGGTTTGAGACCAAGCCTTTTCTCTGAGGTAATAGGGGTATATCCCTGTGTCTCTGCTATATCTATGCCAAGGACAGGAGATGTAGAGTAGACTCCCCGAGGTAGTGTACCCCGCTGTGTACAATGTAACCTGTATGTAGAATATAGGGCATCATTAGACATTTGATACCAGCACCAATACCCTTGCCCCAAGTATTCTATAACAAGGTTGGGACAATTCCTCAGCATCTATTAGACAAGACCTTTCTTTGTGCCAGCATTGCTGTCTCCTGTAAAGCCCCAAGCATGACATAACACCCTCCTTTCTCCAGCACCCATCAGTATCAATCATCTGAGGATGTCCAGACTCATAAACCATCAAAACATGATGGACTCGGGGGTACAATACAGTAAAGTCAAATTGACTGCGGTATACACACGTTGTTTAGTCCCTGCAACCGGACACAGGGATGAGACAGTGTAAGTCAGGCCTTGACATCCAGGGAACTGAACCATCCACCAATCCTTATGACTCATGGCAAACTTGGATACTACCCTACCTGTGTCTTTTCAAAGTGGAAATTGTCCCACTGAGAAAGAGGCAATCATTCCTCCAAGGTCCTGGGACACCTCTGATTGTACCTGGGTACTGGACAGAGCAAGTTGGATTTCCTGACCCCTTCACCAACATGTAGCAGACCTCCCAATTTGGTTCTGAGTACCTCCAGATCCGTAGTGTAATATTAGTTGAGGTACACTAGGAGTCTAGGACAGGAAGGACACCTATGGGTACTATCCGAGGAGACTACAGCATACCCGCATGTATAATAAAGGTGAAGGGCTCTTGGAAAGGCCGAGGCGCAGTGTTCAAGGAACTGCTACTATTGGGATAAAACGGGCAATAAACAAACAAGAATCCCTTGCAGCGACAAGATGCTGGGATCACTGAACAGTAGGGGGTACAATGCAAGCTGACAGGTATGCATAGAGACACCAGACACTGAGGGCAAATACAGAAAAACACATAAAAACAGCCGTGGAAACAAACAAATCTCTAGAAGCAGGTAGAGGCGCATGGTGACACTGTACAGGAAACAGACTTGAAATACACTTGGGGACACAAAAGGCAGGCTGCTAGGAACACTAAGGTGACAAGCCACGGAACTACATATGCCATCATACCTACTGATCTTTAGGAATATCTACACAACACACAAACACAATAAATGTAGTAACACTTTTTAGCCTTATAGCGCCGTCCTAATCAGATTTCCATCTGAAAACTGGCTTTACCTAGTCGCCAATCAGTGGAGCAAAGAAACTCATTAATACCAGAGCTCCATACATGTCAGATTAGGACATACAAGTGTACAATCCAAATGCACATGTTCCTGCATTACAAATGGCTGTGTATATAAGTGGGTGCTGCAGCGACCGTCTGCTGGAACCGAACAGAATCAGTAAGGGAGATTGTCACCAGCACACCGAGGATCACCAATATGGGTCCAAAAGTTTTAATGAATGATCACATAGTTACAACAAGGCAATTAGATTAGAACATACAACACACGCAAGGTCCGCAAGGTCTGAACACAGCAAAAGACAAACGCAAACAAGCACCATCTAGCTAATGGGGGGTGAAACTCATAAAAATGTACACATAAAAAACAGACAATACAGGAAAAAGACAATTTTTGGGGATGACACTTCTTGTCATTAGAGACCATGATCGCCTTCTGTTCGGAAAGCCCTGAAAGCCAATGACAAAACCTGTAAGGTAAAACACCAATAAAATTTAGTAATAAAACATTACATTTTTCACCTAAAAAAAATAAACCAATGGTTAGGGACTTTATAACACCAACACAGCTTACAGTGAATATTTAAAAAAAACATTTTCTTAGATGTTTTAAGAGTGCACTTTTTCTATTACAAAAAATTGTTGCCGTCAACTAATTATTACCACGTGGATTTTGTTTTTGTATACCATTAATATCCAAAAGAAAAAAATTGTTCACCGTGGTTAAAATAAAAATGAAAAATATGAGCAGCTCAAAACAACCATTTTAGTGTTACCATTAATTTACAAAATGTTGCACTTCACCAAAGAAATTCTTCAAAACTTGTCTTTCTAGAAAAACAAACACATTATAGTGAACACAGCTCAGTACATTTGCCTGTCAATAGAGTCATTTACACTGACAGACCTGGCTATACAGGAGGGGGGTCAGCTGCTAGTGGGCTGTCAGCAACTGAGACAACATTAGATTTTTGAAGCTCTAGACCAGGGGCTGAGGACTGACCATGCCTTGGAAACTCGGGCACTGTCCACCGAGGGCCACAGGGGTCAGTAGGGGGCCCCATGAGATGCCCCTAGTACCTTTTTCATAGGCTTTTTTGAGTTTGGGCAAGGACACAGGGGCCCCATGATCCCCTATTGCCCGGGGGCCCCATGAGTTGTCAGTCCGCCCCTGCTCTAGACAAACATTCCATAAACACACTCTTACAATTTGTTAACTTAAAGACAAACTCTAGACACCACAAATACCAGCATGTCTTCTCCAATAACCTGGACTTTTTCTTTTTACTTCCATAAAATCTATTTTGGAAGTTTGAGTTTCCTTTAATGATTCATCCTGTTTCAGTTGCTTATTGTCAGCCTATATAGATGCATTCTCTCCCTTAATATGCTGGCACCAGGGGCATCTCATGATATATATATATTCTGGGGCGGACTGACAACTCATGGGACCCCCGGGCAATAGAGGATCATGGGGCCCCTGTGTCCTAGCCCACATTCAACCACACCCAAAAAAGCCTATGAAAGGCACCAGGGGCATCTCATGATATATATATATTCAGGGGCGGACTGACAACTCATGGGGCCCCCGGGCAATAGGGGATCATGGGGCCCCTGTGTCCCAGCCCACACTCAAACACACCCAAAAAAGCCTATGAAAGGCACTAGGGGCGTCTCATGGGGCCCCCTACTGACCCCAGGCCCTCGGGCAGTGCCTGAGTTCCCAAATGGTCAGTCCGCCCCTGAATGGGACCCATGATCTAGACCAGCAATGGGCAAACTACGGCCCGCGGGCCGTATAGGGCCCGGCGGACCTTTTAATCCGGCCCGCGGAGCTAGGCTCCCTCTAGGCTCCTCTCACAGTCCTGCCCTGAAGACCGGTGTAGCATGAAAACCTGTCTCCTATGAGGATCTGTCCCCCTCGACGTATCTGCGCATGTGCCGGAGATCGCCGATCGGCTGCTAATGCCTGAAACTGGCACATGCGCAGATACGTCGAGGGGGACAGATCCTTATAGGAGACAGGTTTGCATGCTACACCAGAACAGCGCGGGAACACGGCGAGAGGAACGCGCGGAGCAAAGGTAAGTGAATTGACACAGGGGGGACTTGGGGACTTAATATGGGGAATTAATTACTATAGGGGGGATGAATTACTATATGGGGGATGAATTACTATATGGGGGATGACTTACTATGGGGGATGATTACTATATGGGGGATGAATTACTATATGGGGGATGAATTACTATGGGGGATGAATTACTATATGGGGGATTAATTACTATGGGGGATGAATTACTATGGGGGATTAATTACTATGGGGGATGAATTACTATGGGGGATGAATTACTATATGGGGGATGAATTACTATGGGGGATGAATTACTATGGGGGATGAATTACTATATGGGGGATGAATTACTATGGGGGATGAATGAATTACTATGGGGATGAATTACTATATGGGGGATGAATTACTATGGGGGATGAATTACTATATGGGGGATGAATTACTCTATGGGGGATGATTATTAGGGGGATGAATTACTATGGGGGATGAATTACTATGGGGGATGAATTACTATGGGGGATGAATTACTATATGGGGGATGAATTACTATATGGGGGATGAATTACTATATGGGGGATTAATTACTATGCTTACTATGGGGGAATATTACTATACTTACTATGACACACATACACATCATTCATCTACTCTTGGTCCGGCCCCCGGGTCCAATATATGAACCCATTGCGGCCCTCAAGTCAAAAAGTTTGCCCACCCCTGATCTAGGCTGTTCATACTGTACTTTGTAGACCTCGGCTATGCTCCAAAGCGTGCTGAATACACTTCAAAATCACGTCTCGTTGTCCTATATGGATTTTTTTTCCCTACCTTTCCAGCAGAAGAGGATAGACAAAATCGAGCAACGTGGCCAAATAATCCACATGCATAACATTTGATCTTTTCTAAGGTGGTACGGCATCTATTAACTAAAGGCTTTGTTTTAGACTGAGAATATTCAGTGACTGACACTTGATTAGCAACTTTTTCTGGCTGTGTACAAGATGAAGGGGCAGCTTTACAATCACTCTTACCATCCAGAGATTTACAGATATTGTCACATACACAAGGGGCGGATGATTTCTCACTGAATTCACAAATACTTAAATCAGTCTTTTTATCATCTAACGGGAAAATGAGCAAGCTGCTTCTGGCAGTCGACAGTGAATTAATTCAATTCACTTTCTGCATTCTTCAATCTTTCTACTAACTGATCAATTTCCTCCTGTAATATTTTGTTATCTCTTGTTAGCTGTTGGTGGCTAGCATCAGAATTAGTTACAGAAATTTTTAAACTACTCGGGTCACTTTTGGATATTTCAAGAGCTTCCTTTAGTGATTCATTTTGCAACTTCAGATGTTCATATTGCTTAGTCTTCCAACAGGCAGCAAAGATCAGTGGAGTCTTTCCAACACACTTACTATAACTTTTCCTGCTAGGCTTTGATTTTGTATCTTCTTCTAACTCCAGTCTGGCCTTTCCCTGCCTAACATCTCTTCTTTCCTTGTTCTGTTCCTGTTCCTCGCAGTCTTTTGGCCTTACCCTGTGGCTCTCCCTTTTCATCAACTGCTGATAACAGTCCATATCAGTGCTTGAGAATTCCACTGGCAAGGACTGGGTAACTGCATAACGCCTCAGTCCTGACGATTGCTCATTGTCCCCCTGTTCATCATTGCCACAGTTCTGGGGTTTAGACGTTTGTGACTGTGCCTTCATATATCTACTTTCAAGTGTTGTTTGGAATGATTTCTCTTTAGATTCCATACAGGGGCGGACTGACAACTCATGGGGCCCCCGGGCAGTAAGAGATAATAGTTCCTCCTGTGCCCCCACCTACACTCAAGCCACATCCACACAACACCCTACCTACATATTGCAGCTCAGCTGCATAGAAGGGGCATATAAATATTTACTGCAGCAAAGACTGCATGAATTTTCCTGGCTTCTTTCCGTAGAAGCCACTGGGCACTTCCAGGTTTAAAGATGGCTGCCAGGTGGGGGAAGTGAAAGAGAGAGGGGAGTGAGAGGGTGAAAAAGAGGAAGGGTATGAGAGAGAGGAAGGGATGAGAGAGGAGGAGGGTGTGTTTTAAATTGCACTAAAAATTGGGCATGGCTTAAAAGGGGTGTAGTTAAATAGTACCTGAGATGACTTATATAGTGCAGAATGAGGTAATGTTAAATAGAGGATGTACAGTGTGGCGTGTATGACAGTGGGTAGTATGTACAGGGAGAGGAGTGTGGAGTGTATGGGTGGGTAGTATGTACAGGGACAGGAGTGTATGGCTGTGAGTACTATGTGTAAGGTGGTGTCAGTAGTTCTTCATTTTTATTATTATTTTTTTTTTTTGCAATTTTATGATTTTATTGACAAATTAATGTTTTATTATTTTTATCATTTTTTTTCAAAATGCTTTGGGTGGAAGGGGAGGAAGAAAGGGAGGGAGGGAGGGAGGAAGGAAGGAGTGGATGGGGGAAGGAAGGAATGAAGGAAGGAAAGAAAATAGATGGTCGACGTAATGAAGGTAAAGGTGGGAAGGAAGGAAGGAAGGAAGGAAGGGGAGGGAAGGAAGGGAGGAAGGAAGAAAGAAAGAAAAGGGTGGGAATAGATGGCGGGAGGGAAAGAAAGAATTAAGGGAGGGGATGGAGGAAGGAATGAAAGTAAAGAAGAAAAGGGAGGGAGCGAATGGAGGAAGGAAGGAAGGAACGAACGGGAGGGAAGGAAGGAGGGGAGGGAAGAAGGAAGGAAGAAAAAGGAGAGAGGAAATGGATGAAGAAAGGGAGGAAGGAAGGAAGGAAAGAAGGGGAAGGAAGGAAAGAAGGAGAGGGAAGGAGAGCGAAAGGAAGGAGAGAGAGGGAGGGAGGGAAGGAAAGAAAGATTGAAGGGAAGGGATGGAGGAAGGAAGAAAAGGGAGGGAGGGAATGGATGGAGGAAAGCAATGGAGGGAATGGATGGAGGAGGGAGGAGAGAGAGGGAGAGAGAGAGGGGAGAGAGGGAGAGCGAGAGGGGGGGATAGAGGGAGAGGGGGGGGGGGGGAGAGAGCGAGGGGAGAGAAGGAGAGATGGAGAGAGAGAGAGGAGAGGGAGGGGAGGGAGGGAGAGAGAGAAGGGGGTAGGGAGAGGGAGGGAGGGAGAGAGAGAGGTGGGTAGGGAGAGGGAGGGAGAGAGATGGAGAGAGGTAGAGTGAGAGGGAGAGAGGGGGGAGAGGGAGGGGGGAGAGGTAGGGGGAGGGAGAGGGAGGGAGAGAGAGAGGGAGAGAGAGACGTGGACCTGGTACATTCAGAAGCATCACAGAGCTGCCGGCTGATCTGGACAGGGGAGGCAGAGCAGATCCTCTCTCTTCTTTGCTCTGCCGTGGAGGATGGGGGATGCTTTACGTTTTTTTCAGCCTTTGTTTTGTTAAAGTGGAAATTGTTTTGTGGGGCAGATAAAAAAAATGCAAAACGCTGTAAAAAACGGGGCAAAAACGCACTACATGTGTTTCAGCAGCTTTTCCATTTAACTCTATTGTAGCAAAAACGCAGCTTTTTTTGTTTATAAAAGTCCCCGACCTTTCAAAAAACACAGCAGTTCAAAAGAGCATAGATGTGAACATGTCCCATAGGAAACCATGTTATATGGACTGTAATGCATTTCTGCAGAAAGCGCTAAAAAAATGCATTGATGTGAACCAGGCCTTAAGGTTGGCTATGCTAAAAACTGTGTATGCACCTTCTCTGGTGCATTAGGAAACCCATTCAAAATAATGGACTGCTTTAATACATTGCAGGATTAAGTGCATCGTAATGAGCATTCGTATGTGTGTGTTACCACACCACAAAGTCTTAAATGGAATCTGAAACACAGGGTATAGAACAATGTCAGCCTAACTGAAATAATCTATCTAATCTAAATCTATCTATCTTTTTCACTTCCCTCTCCTCATTGGCACTGTACTGTGCAGCAGCTGCCTCTCACCCTGAGCTTCCCTGATGTGTGAGCATCAGAGTGACCCTGTGTCTGCATTCACAGGGGGAATACCCCATTGTTGCTCCGATGCTCACACAGCAGGAAAGCTCAGGGTGAGAGGCAGCTGTTGCACAGTACATATATTGTGACAGTGTGGCGATCTGTCACCCTGGATTCTCAACAAGGCAGGTTGAGGGGCTCCAGGGTAAGTGTTTGATATGGAGGAAAGTGGCTTTTCACTTTCCTTCTTTGTTTGTAAGGTCTGTTTTGGGATCTGGAGCCTGGAGATTTCAAAGAGATCTGGGAGGGATGAAATCTCCAATCCTGGGACCAGGTTTTGGGATAGGCCAGGAGACTGATTGCACAGGTGTGTGCAGGCCTTTAGAGAGAGTCAGGACCAGGGTTCTGGGCTCCACCCCGGCAGATAGGAGTCAGCAGGGCTCCACCCCGGCAGATAGGAGTCAGCAGGGCTCCACCCTGGCAGACAGGAGGTCACTGCCTGGAAGTCAGGTGGGCTTCACCTAGGAGAGGTGGAAGCCAAAAGCAGCAAGGGGCTGCTAGAGACTAGCTGTGTGCTAGTGGCCATAAGTCTTGAAGAAGTCTGCAGGAGACAGACAGGAAGATTCTATATCTGAGAGAGCCAGGAGGCTGAATTTTGTTTTGTGGATGATCGATACCCCTGTGTGGGATACTTCTGTTTGATCTTTCATTTAAATAAAAGTGGGCTAAAAAA